GTAGATAATACCGCTTTGTGGAATCCGTAGCAATAGGTGTCAACAAGACAACCCTGAGGGGGATAGAGTACCCAAACGAACAACTTTCATTTTACCTAAAAAGTATGATCGTAAACACTTACTTGTGGCGAACCTACTAGTGTTCCACCTGACTACCTAGAATAGTCAGTGGTCGTCACCTATACTTTGTTAGATGATTGGTCCCGGTAATACAATGTGTGACCTCTCACCATTATTTTATTTTTCCCAGAAACCCTTTACTACCCAACCCATTATTATTATTTTTCCCAAAACCCTTCACTACCCAATGCGAATATGATAAATTAATTTATATAAGTAAAATCATATCATATTATAGCATAAGTATCAAGTACATAGATAGTAAGCACATATAGCTTTTAATAGATACTTCATATCTATGTGTAAACTGAAAGTAACTATACACCCACCTGTTAAAGTGGATGAGTAGTGATTTGGGCAGAGCTTCGCCACATTGCCTTGATTATTCGAACGACGACCGAAAAACTAGCCCCGTTGCCTTGATTCCTCGAACATGTTGCCTAAATTTGTCGTACGATGACCTGATGACTAGCATTGTTGGCTAGATTTGTCGAACGTCGACCTTGAAACTAGCCCTGTTGCCTTGATTCCTTGAACATGTTGCCTTGATTTTTTGAACGATGACCTAAAAGCTATACTCTTGGACAACCAGAGAGCCATCCTCATTGCCTTGAAGTTTATATAGGGGGGACTACAGAGATGAAGCAACCACAGAGCACCGACAAGGCAAGCCCCAAGACCCGCGAATGAAGCCCACCCCCAACATGTTGCCTCGGTTCCTCGAACGACGACCTAAAACCTTGCCCCTTTGCCGAGCATGGGCATCTTTTGTGCTTCGAAAATAGCTTCATACATGCCATGATGATACTCTTTGTCGGACAATACTTTCACGATAATTATTGTGTCTTCCTTGTCATTGGCACTAAACCAATGCTGGCTACGCTTAGGCACCAATCGCATGTCTAACCAGGATAGACAAGCATACCGTATTAGTATCACAAAATGCAATACATGCAACTTTAATGCCCGTGTTTTCCCGATCATCGACACAAATCTAATGCTGGCTGCGCTGCTGGCACCAGTCGCACGTCAAACAAGGATTAGCAAAGCATATCATGATTGTATTGCCAGCCAAACAACACCATCCCGTCCTACCAAGGCTCGACCACAACCCTGGCATCGTTGTCGCAGCGACCCGACGAGGCATCCCCACTCTGGTGCTGCCACGTCATCAACCTAGTGTATTTCTCGTAGATCTTCGGACAACCATAACTTTCACATACAAGCTCCGTTTTTGACGTTCTTTATATCCCCGGAATCCTCTCGCCGAGCTCTTCAACTTTCATTAAGGTTCTATCAGCTAATTCTTACTCTAACTAAAATTCATATTTAGACCGGTTTAGACTGATAAAGTCCATGCGAAATTCATAACTCCTTCATACGAACTATGTTCCAGACTATCTTTATACCGACAGGTTCATATTTACGAGATATTCGATTCACATTTAGATTGTTTCGACTAACAATCAGCCGATTTGAATTTTGATTTTTATGTCTGCACTACTGCGCTGAAACTTGAAAATTCATAACTTCTTCTCACGAAGTCAGATTTGGACGTTCTCTAATTGCGCGCTCTCGGTTTTACGACTAATATGACTTTCGTTAGATCACTTAGGCTAATAAGTAAACTACCAAAAATTCACTTTTTACGATACACAGAGTCGTGTCTGTTAATCGCGAAACTTCGAAGTATCATAACTTCTTCATACGAAGTCGGGTTTCAGAGTTCTTTATATGTACGTAATCCTTATCACATATACTATAACTTTTGTTAATATTATTTATCCTAAATAATCTTCTATAAAAATGTCGTTTTATCGCTTATTCTATTTTAATTGACTAGCCTGAATCTGTGGATGTTACACTTTAACCTCTTGGAGAACTTATAGGTGGTGAAATTGGTGAGATGAAAATTCGTTGGATAAAGTGGAAAAAGGTGTTGGCATGAGAGGATGAAGGGGCGGGAATTGAAAGTCTTTATGCTTTTAAACGGGAGTTAATTTGAAAATGACATTAGAGGTTTTTGAATGAAGATGATTTTCTTTGGGTATCTCTTATTGAATCCATACATGGAATTGATGGAGGATTCCGTTTGAACCCTTTGAACCCTTGTAGGTTAAAACCCAAGGGTATAAAATAACATCATCAGTTCTTTTAACCAACTTTGGTCAAAAGGAATATATTTTGAGATGTTTTTTTCGTATGCAAGTTGGTAATGTTTTTTTTTTTCGTATGTAAGTTGGTAATGGTTTGTTAACCATATTTTGTGAAGACATTTAGAATGGAGAAATTCTCTTACTAGAAAAAATTCCAAGATTATTTATTTTGGAAACAACTAAAAATTGCACGGTTCATTTTCATTCTCAATTGTTGGATGGTGCATGGACTTGGTCTTGGCGTCGACCACCAATCGGGGGGGGGGGGGGGGGGAGGTGGACTGAAGCCACATAATTGGTTGATTTAGAGATTTTATCGGACTTCTTTTTGTTTGTTGATTAACCAGATACTTAGAGTTTGAGATCTTGACTTGACATGAACTTTTTTTAGTGGGAGAAGGACCAATAAGATGGAAAAATCCAGTTCCAATCAAATATAATGTTTTTTTCTTAATGGATTTACATGGATTTGGGGGGGGGGGGGGGGGGGGGGGGGGGGGGGGGACTGAAGCCACATAATTGGTTGATTTAGAGATTTTATCGGACTTCTTTTTGTTTGTTGATTAACCGGATACTTAGAGTTTGAGATCTTGACTTGACATGAACTTTTTTTAGTGGGAGAATGACCAATGAGATGGAAAAATCCAGTTCCAATCAAATATAATGTTTTTTTCTTAATGGATTTACATGGATTGGGGGGGGGGGGGGGGGGAGGGGGGAGGGGGACTGAAGCCACATAATTGGTTGATTTAGAGATTTTATCGGACTTCTTTTTGTTTGTTGATTAACCGGATACTTAGAGTTTGAGATCTTGACTTGACATGAACTTTTTTTAGTGGGAGAAGGACCAATGAGATGGAAAAATCCAGTTCCAATTATATTTGTTTTTTTCTTAATGGATTTACATGGATCAACTCGAAGTAACTTGATCATAGAGATTTGGATGCTCACTCTTTACTTTTCCCGATGCACGATTCTCACAATGATAAAAAAAAAAAGCATATATTTTTGAGTTGTCATGTGACGTTTTCTTTTGGGAAACAACTTGCTCGGTGGTGGGATTTACACATCCCTCAAGTTGGTATAGTGGTGGATCGTATTCTATAGACATATACTTTGGAGTTCAATGTGATGTAGCATACGTGTTGGATGTTGTCATGCTAACTGCATGTTGGGTGATTTTGTATTTCCGAAATGCATTTCTCTTTGGTTCCAGTATACCAATGAAAGATGTAATTTTCGATAATAGTTACGCATTTTTAGTTTTGATTATCTAATAGGAGTTTGAAGGTTAAAATTGGATGGATTAGTTGCGAAACCCAAAAGTAACTACTGTTTTTTTGTAATGTTTGTTATCCTAATTGTTAGCTACTTAGCTTAATGAAATTTTGGACGTTCAAAAACAATTATGAAGATACCATCTCAATAAATTATCAATAACATATTAATAAACAAATTTTCGAAACTTTAACTTTTAAAAAATAGAAGTTCACATTATTTTTTTGGAAATTAAATTCACGATTCAATTGAATTGGGTTAGTAGTAAATGAATTGTTTTAAATTGATTTTAAAGTTCAAAATTAATCTACCAATTTCTAAAAACAATAAATAGGAAAAACAAAAAGTAAGGCTCACATAAAAGTAGATATAATGAAAGACACCTAAAAACATTAAATTAATGTTGAAAGAGACATAATGGACATTTGTCAAACACTAAACTTTATCGTGCCCAAACTTTATTTGTCCATATTGTCAAAGCCAAAAATGCTTTGCATAGTTTTATGTGAACATGGTTGAAAAAACCATGGTCTTTTTTATCAATTATGAAATAATTATTTGTAGTCTATTTTGTACAATAATTCATGGTGCTGTATTTTCAATACGATTTCATATCAAGATATATTTTTTTATTAAAAAACTAGTAAAGATAATACAATATAAAATTTGAAACGTGAAGAAAATGAAAATAGATTGTTACATATAGGTGGGAAGCTCAACCTCTCGGTGGATTCATAAATGTGGATATTTGAATGCATAGTAAGCTTGTTAAGTGGCAAAAGAACTCTCCATGTGTGCACCCATCCCGAAAACTAGGCTTTTTTATATTTTTTTATAAAAGACATACTCCCTCCGTATCAAAATTATTGTCCACCTTCCTATTTTAGTTTGTTCCAAAATTATTGTCAATACCAAAAGTAGATATACACTTTTACCATATTACCCCTAACATTTAATAAAGTAAACTTGAATAATTACAAACGCACATTTCCCATTGGTTTTAGAAAAAGGCAAGAGGGTCATTTTACTCAAAAAGACAAAACTAATGATTGCTTTTCTTAATCCATGTGTTTTTTGTCTGTGGACAATAATTTTGGGACGGAGGGAGTACTATTTTAAGACCGAAGCCAGTTTATATGTATTATTTTTTTTAGACATATCACATTAGTTTATTTATTTATTTATTTTTTGTTGTATAGGTCTCTTTTTTTGAGATGCACACTATAACGTAACATTCTTAATAAATAGAAATATAAAAAAACGACATGTTTTAAATAGTAAGTCTTTTTCACGTAGCAATAATTGGCATAAACAGAACAACAATGTAAAACAACAGTTACACCACGTGTGATAATAGTTGTACAATGTCCTAGGATTTTACCACCTAGGATTTAATGAAGTACAACATTCATTTAATTAACGAAGTACAATATTCATGTAATTAATCCTTTCTTGAAACTTTATATAGGATTTACATAATCAAAAATCAAATAACCCATTCTAATGATATAGTACATAACCAAGAAATACAAGTAGCCATAATACTAAAAATTAACTCCATTATTGTAACTTAAAAACCAACACAATCAAATCACCCTTAAGAGGATTGGTACAAAAATATAGCATAAGTTCTCCATATGTTGGTTCCTTTAACTTGAGCAACAAACCCCATGGTAACATGTACCTCATGCAGAAAAAGTTGTACAACACCCTCAATCCAACAATCACGTCAAAAGGGCAACCAAAAAAGCTAAACTACAGCAGCATTCATATTAACATAAGTAAAAAAAAAATCTAGAGTTTTTATGTGGCTCATTTACAACCAATGTCCACTAAGACACTTCCATTGTACCTATTCGCCCTATTACCACATAATCTATAAACTATTTGATAATTAGGGCTTACATACACTTCACTCAAAGATCAAAGTAAGTATCTGTTGAGTCAAATGAAGATCTTAATGGTGGCTCATTGCGAGTTTTTGGTTTTTTTGGCAGCAAAAATCTGACGAAGAAAAGAAAACTTGCGTCTTGAGCGTGCGGAAAGCTCGCCATTACTTGCTGCTGCCGCCGCCACGTCATCAGCGGCATCACATTCTTCCGGTGACGTGGCGGGTGGTGGTGGTGGGAGGGTGAAGAGAAATGTGTTGAGCATGCGTATGATTTGGTCAAAACTTGGTCTTAGATTTGGATCTTCTACCCAACATGCTTGTATGATGAACGCAAGTTCAGGTTTTATGTCATCCGAAAGATTCGGCCTTTCTTGCTGTTTCAAAAAAAAAAAATAATAAAATAAAATAAAATAAGTTAGAAATGAATACTTAACAGAACAAAACAGGTTGTCCTGTATTTGATATATACAGAACAGAACAAGTTGTACTGTATTTGACATGCACTGGACTGAGACTGATGTGAATAAAACAAAAAATTTTGTCCTATTAAAAAAGATGGGACAGGGACTTGGTCTTGATAGTTTATTTGTGCAAAAGACGTAAATGCCCTCATCATTGAAATAGTCAGATAGAAAGAACGAAAGACCTTAAAAGCAGCAGCATAAGCAGCTTGCAAATTTGACATGCCTTCAAATGGCATTCGGTTTGTGACTAATTCCCACAACACAATTCCAAAGCTGTAAACATCAACCTTGTTATTGTAATGCTTCTTCTCCCCTTGACGCAAAGTCACTGTGCTATACAACTGCAAATTTTACAATTTCATTTTTTTTTTTCAGCTACAATTTAATCATTGGAAAGTGAACAAATGCAAATAATGATAATAATGAACCATGCTTCAATCTTTTCACAACAGTAGAATAGTAGTACTATTTAATAAAACTGTTTCAATAAACCTGTCATGTGACATGTCACATGTCCACATCAGCAAAAAAAAAATACCTCAGGGGCCATCCAACGGTAAGTACCAGTCTCTGCTGTCATCATTTCAGTAACGGTTTCTTCTCTTGCAAGGCCAAAATCTGCAAGCTTCACAGACTTCTGATTTGCAGTTAACAGCAAATTGTCTGGAAGTAAGTCACAAGTCACAATGTTGATATGTTTTGAATATAACCCTTTTCTGGAATAATAATAAATAAATAAAAAAATACCGGGTTTTAAATCTCTGTGTATAATCCCATTAGCATGCAAACAATCCATGGCTCGAGCAATATCAAGAGCAAAACTCAAAGCCAAACGAAGGTCTAATTGATTTGGACGAATGCTTCCCAAATATTTCCTAAGTGACATTCCGGGTAATAGCTCAGAGACAATCACCATTAAAGGTTCCTTACAAGCTCCAATAAACTGCAAAAAAGAAAAAATTTAATTAATAAATCTATCGAGTTTAAACTTTAAACCTTGTAATAAGCAAATATACCTTAACTAGGTTGTCATGTTTCACTCTTGACATCATAGTAACTTCACGTGCAAAACGGCCTTCAAGTGCAGCTCGTTCTTCTGTGTTACTCCCACGGTTGAGAACCTTTATAGCCACAATTCGATCACCATACCTATAAATGTTAAATGTTAAATGTTAAAAACCCTTTTTAGAATAAATAATAAAATCTAAATTTTAGAATGTTTGAAGAATAAATTAAAAAGTATATCAAGGAAAAGGAGTAAAGGACCCTTGTACATGTTAGCGGAATGACTTCAAAACAGGGTAAACACATGCTAACTTACTACAAGATTTCTTTCAAATGAATTTGTCTTAAAGCTTTATGTCAACTTCAAAATACGCATTTGGGATTCACCTTAATCTTGGATTTTGCAGCCAAAATGAGCAATTTTTTTTTATAAACAAGGAAAATTATCATGAGAATTGAAATGTAAATGGTAATGATATAAGTAGATATATTGTTTACCTTCCTTCGTAAACCTTCCCATGAGCTCCTTCTCCAATTTTGGCTCCGATAAATAAGAGTTTTGGATCAACAAGCACCCTTTCATCAATCGTGCAGTCTGAATTTGTAATTGACCCATTTGAACAAACTGATTTTGAGCAACCTGATCCCGATTTAACTGTTCCAGATTTATTATTGCTATTATGATTACTATTACTACTATCGAATGACCCTTCTTCTTTTGATTTCTTGATGTTGTTCTTCTCACTGTTACTCATACTGCAATTTCAGATTATCCCCCTGTTCCTCATCTTAACCTTCAAAAACCCCCTTCAAGAATCTCGCATAGATAAAACACCATCATCCAAAAACTTATCGTTTAAAACCCTCGATTAGATTCTTCATCGTTTAGAGGAGGTTAGAAGACATAAAGATTTGATCTTTTTTTCGCGAACACCACACATACGAGCAATAAAACAGTGTGATGGCTGAAAAGATCGTAGCTTTTTCACCTAAAATAAAATAAAATGGAAAGGTACCAATAACCCAGACGGATTGATTGAAGAAATCATCCAAATACGAAATACCCAGATGGAAATTCAACTTTGAATCCCTGAAAAAATATAAAAGATTGTTAGAGAGAGAGAGGAAGAGCATCAAAGATAAAACTTACAGAAGCATCCAAGAGAATATGCTCATGTGTTTGTTTGTGCGTGGATTAAAGACTATATTCGCATCGAAAGGAACACATACAAGCAACAACAACGAAGACGACGATGAAGCTGGATAAACCCTAAAAAATTTTATTTCAAAGAAATCGTCTTGACGGTGGGTCTTGCTCTAAATTTCTTCTTTCTTTGGTTTCTCTTTTAGAAAATAAAAAGGAGAGGTGTGTTTTCTATCTTTGGAGATGGCGTTCCGGTGAAGTTGTGAAGATATTCTTGTTTTTCCGATGTCAGAGGTGAGAAAAAGGCAAGAGTTAGTAGTAAGGCATGTATTGTGCACTACACAAACACGTAGCGAGTGTGGAAATGTGTGTGAGAGAAGGTAAAGGAAAGTACTTGTCAGATTGATAGACCAATGATCGATTGACGCGTGGATAGCAGAAGAAGCATCAGCCGTGTTGGACATGGATGCTTCGGCGGAGAACCGAACGAGTACGGCCGAGCACCCACCCACCCACCTCACTCGATTGCTAATCTGCTATCTACTTTTCCATTAAAACGTAAAAAAATATTTTAAAAAACAGCAATATAGAAGAAAATAATAAGTTTTATTTATTTTTTACAAGTTGATGTTTTAAATATTTATGCACAATTTGTTGACATCCCATAAATTATTCATTTCAAGAAAGTAGATAAAACTGTATATTTGGTCTATTTGTTTGTCAAAAAAATTGATCTATTTCATAAACTTCTAATTTTATATAGATTTTTTTATAAGCATGTTTCGTTATCGTTTGGTTTCTTTCCAAACTCAAAATGATCGGTATTTTTAAAATTATTATATAGACAAAAAAAATATATTAATAGAAATATAGCGTATTGTCGATTGTAAGTAATCATGAATTAATTTGTTAAATAAAATAAACATAATATTTTAACATAGATTTTGAAAAACTTATTTGTATATAATGTTGATAGTTTTATTGGTTAAATTATCATATTTATCTAAAATCAATAACTTCAATCATTCTATGTTCTTTACTTTAAATAAAGAATGACCGTGTATGAAAATTGGTTCTTGCAAAAACAACTAACTTTTGACAATTATTGTCGTCGACTTTTATTTATGGTCATAACAAAACAAACCGCTAGAGAAATTGTCTCCTTTAGAATTTGTAAGGAATTTTGTTGTCTAAAGGTGTTAAAGACAATCTTGAAATAAAAGTTTGATGTCAAATATTGCTTCTAGTTAAGACCATTGTTTTTCTATGACGCGATTACCCAATGATACCATATGAAGTCTAGTCTTATTACATAAGTCATTTTCTGGTCGATATTTCTTAGTAACATAACCAGAACACCAACTTTAAAATCGAACTTATGGTTTTGCAAACTGAAGATTTTAAGTCCATTTAGAACACCAGGTGAATATAAACTCTCATCAAAATGATTATGAATAAACTCTTATTAGCAGATACTATCTGAAGCGGGGTATTCTTTTTCTTCCCCGGAAAACAGTGAAAGTAGACGATTGTTTATTTCTTGAACGACTTCATTTTTTGGTGCAATTATTGTTCTTTCATCAAAATAATTTGGTTGTTGAAGTTTTCAAGAAATGGTGAATATACATACTTAATTAATGAACCTATAGGATCACAAGATTGAGTAAAAAGAAGATCATCAAGAATATGAATAACCGCATCACTATCATTAGAACCACCAGTATTTCCATATCCTATATCCAAGAGCCATTTTGCAAATAACATTGTTTGTTGTATTTCAGACGGGTCTTTTCCAACAGTCACCCTCACGTTCTTCGTTAAATTTCGTACTTTGCAATTGCTCCATATATATGAAGAACTTAAAGACACATTGACAATTTCTTGTCTACTGCCATTGGAAACAACTAGTAGAATTTGTCTGAAATCACCTCCAAATACGATTACTTTGCCTCCAAACGGGATAATTGAGTGGCGAACATTACGAGAACTTAAAACATCCTTTAAAGTGTAATCTAATGCTTCAAATGCATGCTTATGAACCATCAACGCTTCATCCCAAATAATTAGTGATGTTTGTTTTAGTAATTTGGAGGCATCACTGTTTTGCTTTATAGAACAAAAAGAATATTCATTAAGATTTAAAGGAATACCAAAATGAGAGTGTGTTGTTCTACCTCTGATTAGTAACAAAAAAGCAATATTGCTTGAAAGCAACATTCAAAACAATTTGTCCTTTAGATCTTATAGATGTTGATAACATCTTCCAAAGAAAGGTTTTGCCATATAACCATAATATAGTAATGTATTTTCTTTTAACAGCTAATACAAAACTTATAATGTTACAAAATTAACATATAGCAATTAGAGATATTTCAAAGTAGGTTGTTATTTTGAAAAATTCATGAAGTTGGAAAACCTATGAAAATAGCAACATACTTTGAGATGATGATAATATGAAACTTATTTTTAACAAATTTAGAGAAAACATGGTTTTATTTTGGAATCAAACACAATCATTCAAACCAATCTTTCAATCATTCAAACACATAGAAAAATATAATAACATAGTAATACGCTTAGAAACATGTGATGATTGAAGATGAACTAACCTGGTTTTTCGTTGGTCTCTATTGTAGAATTCGTGTTGATGGAAGTTATGAAAGCAAAAAAAGTATTATGAATTAAAAGCAAGGGTTTGCCGTGTATTTGATATGAATTTTAAATGGAGGATCAGGTAAAGAAGGTAATAAGGAGAATGTATCCCTGATTTATGGGGATACATTAAAATCTGATTAAAATCTGAGACATTTAATAGGATTTTTAAAAGATAGATATATATTTTTGAAAATTTTATTATGATAGGATTTTTTATTTCATATGAACTTTAAATGGAGGATCGGGTAAAGAAGGTAATTAGGAGAATGCATCACTGATTTATTGGGATACATTGAAACTTGAGAGATTTAACAGGGTTTTTAAAAGATAGATACCATATATTTCGAAAAAGTTATTATTTTGGGATTTTTCTTTTCAAAATTTGAATCAAAGTTGATTTTGTTACTAAATAAAATGGGATAATGGTAGAAATCATAGAAAAATGACATGTGTCAAAGAGGCATGCTAGGAAAGGGACATGTGGTATTTGTAGGTTTCGTTTTTTAGAATAGGTAGATTTTTTGATTTTTTTATTTTTATTAAAATCAAGAATATTAAAGACAAAATAGGTCTACCACCCCAATCCCCCCCCTCGTTTTTATTTGTCGATGCAAAAACCATTTGAGGATTTCGGTTTCTGGTTCATCTTTTCATCTGTATTTCCGTATTCATCTTAAACTTTTTTTTGTCTTTACCCGTTCTAGGCTGTGATTTGGATCTCTTTTTTATGTCTTTGAGTTTTAGATTCCCCCATCTCCGAGTAAGTGCATGACGAGTGGACTTACTATCAGTTATGATGGGTTTTCTTGCATCTATGCACATTAGTTATGGCAGCGGAAACAAACTAAAATTCTATGTATACATGCACCCTAATAGATTTAGGTTTGTTCTATTATAGCAACCTACTTTGAAAAACTTGTAAATTTACTAACTTCATGTTTCTTGTACCTTCTTAGAACTTCCTCGTGAGATATTGTAACAACCAAGTTGCTTGGATGAGAGGACCCAAAGTATAATCCCTCTTTTACATCACATTCAAGTCACTAAGAGAGTAGAAGTAATAAAACCTAGGAGTGGGAAAGCTTGGAATGAAAATTCTAATATTCCAATAGCCCTAAAAGGGGTATAATTTTCATTCCATGAGAGGTAAGGGAAGAGGGAGAAAGAAATTTAGGAGTTAGGAGCACCCGAGGTTTGATCCCTAACTCCCTATTTATAGTCTTGTGTTGCTTAATCTTTAAGAAACTAAAAAACCTAAGGATAATCCATATCCTTATCTTATTTTCGTCCCTACCATCTCGTCGAGGGTTCTGGAATATTCTAATTGATTAACAACTTAATTAATTAATATTCAACCATTTTAATTAATAAAAATTATTTAATTAATTCCAAAATAATTTCCAGTTGATTTATTAATTCATAATAAATTAATAAACTTATTTTCTCCTAATTCCTTGTTGCTCAAATGGGTCATGAGGGCAACCCAAATGACCCTGTTATTATTAGAAATATTACCACTAGTTAATTACCTTTGACACTTTTCTAACAAGTTCATCACCGCCAAACCATAACATGCGTCCATGGTTACACAACCACTACCATCTTCTTCATTGTTCATCATCATCCTTAATTCATCTGAAATCATCTCCATAACACCATGTACACCTTCATATTTTGTCTAGTTTGCCTATAATTCAAACTTATATCGCCATTCATCTTCGATTCATCTTAGATGTTGAGATCCTTGATTATTTGTGATTTTAAAAGTCTTTAGCACAAACTTATATCGCTATTCATTCATGGGTCTTTCTTATTTTAATATTTTTCGTGTAATTGGTTTCATTGAAATGCGAAACAAGTAGCCAAAGTAAGACTATAGAGCTCATTTGATTTTTATGTTTCTGGGAGCATTCATTTCTACAGAGATGTAACTCATAATAAGAAACAACAAATACATGCTTATGATAATATTTTACGTTTTCTTTGATTGGGAAATGGTTTGTGTCTATATGTAAGAGATTTACAAAGAGAGAGAGAGGGAGAAAAAAAGCGAGAGAGAGAGAGAGAGGGACCGAGAGAAAGAGTGAAAGAGAGAAATAGAAAAGGAAAAAGGGTATGATGGGTATGGATGGTGTGGGTGTTATTTATTTTTTATCTTAATAAACTTTAAAATAAAAGGGAAAAGGTGTAAAAAAAATTAACGCAAGGGAAATTTAGTCATTTCAGCTTGTACATGGACCAAACCCATAAGAAAGCATGTCCATAAGGACCATCTATGCAAAACTGAAAGTTTAAAGACCGAAGCCCTAAATTTTTAACAAGTATAAGGACCAAATTTGCAGTTTTCTCTTAAAAATATGATGAAGATACTAAAATCAATATGAATGGTTAGGTGTGTGTTTGGTATTATGAAATTGAAATAGTAAGGAATAAAATTGACAATTTAATAAAATAAAAGGTAACGAGGAATCATTCTTGATAATTCTCAAAACCCTTTGTCTTTTTATTTTGATATTGGTAGTTTGATCTATTTCTAAAGCACGAAAGAATCATTTATGAAAAATGATCACAAAATTTTTATTGAAAAACTTGGGTTCATTGAATCCCTTGAGGTTGATTACAGTATGTTGTACGAATCAAGTTGGATATGTAACGAATCTATTTCTCATAAGGGCGTGATGGTATATTAAGGCGTAATCAAGACTTAA